TTCTTCCTCCTGCGCGAAGCGCGGAAGCTTTTACGTTTCATTAAATCATTAGAGAAAGAAGACGATTCGTTGTACCGTTCTCGACTCTTAATCCTAGTCTAAATTCAGTTCCCCCCTCCCGTGCGAAGCGCGGAAGTTTCGACGTTTCATTTAATTTTTAGAGAAAGAAGACGATTCGTTGTACCGCTCTCGAAAATATTCTTCGTCTGAATTCAGTTTCCCCCTCCCGCGCTCCCTCGCTACGCGTTTTTGGGGGACCACCCCACCGCCCCCCCCCCCCCTGGCTACGCGCCTGCAGTCAGATGAACTTATGTTGATACCTTGTCTGCCCCTGGAAGTTCAGGGGTTTTAGGCATTTAATTACGGTCAGATGAGCATTATTTTGATACCTAATTGTGACATTTGCAGGTCACTAATTGGCGTGGGGTTCAGGGGGCGGAGCCCCCGGAAACTCAAGGGTTTTAGGCACTCAATTACGGTCAGATGAGTATCAAGGGGCCCGCCTTAGGGCCCCAGGTGGAATCCGGGGGCTGAGCCCTCGTGGTTTCAGGCCTTTAATTTGATCATGGTCAGATGAGCATATTTTGATACATCATTATAATGTGACACTGGCAGTTAACTATTTTTTCTTTCTTGCTCTCTTTCTTTCTATTTCTCTTTAATATACTTTTTCAAAAAAAGTGGGGGGGGGGGGGGGGGGGGGCTCGAGGATCCCGCCGTTCCGCGGGCCCTGACATGTAGGCATCTCAAGAAGCATTTTCTTGCCTGGCTGAACATTTAGGAATTTGTCATTTTCCAACAAACGCATACAAAAGTACAATTTACTTAAAAGTGATGAAAAATCTCGGAAAATTATGTCATTTCAGCATTATTTGTAAACCACCGTTATGGAATTAGAAATAAACCACGTTTGAATTTTATTTCCCCAAAGCCCCCCCCCCCTCCCCTATCAGTACGCCAGTTCCCCCCCCCCCGATTTACACCTTGTTGACGAGAAAATTACAACTGATATCCCTTACCTTTCTTCATTCTCTATTTGCTCTTTCCCTTTCTCTCCTCTTTCCCTTTCCCTTCCCTTCTCTCTCTTTTAAGTTTGCCTGGGGGGGGGGGGGCGGGGCAAGGTCATTTTGGCCCCCACTCCGCTCCACACATTGTCGACTGATCTCTCCTTCTTTTCTCCCTTTTCTTTTCTTCTTCCTCTTTTTGTTCCCTTTTAGCTCTCCTCTTTTCCTTTTCCTTCCTTCTCTTTTTTTTTAACGCGGGGACGGGGGGGGGGGGGGGGGGGGGAGGCAAGGGCCTTTTGCCTCCACCCCCCCCCCCTGATCGGGAAAATTGCAACTGATATCCCCCTTCTTTTCTTTTCTTCTTCCTCTTTTTTCCTTCCCTTTATCTCATCTTTTCCTTTTTTCTTTCCCTTTCCTTCCTTCTCTTTTATTTTTTGATTGGGGGAGGGGGCAGCAGCATGGGAGGCAACTCCTTTTTGCCCCCCCCCTGATCTCCTTCTTCCCTCTTTTTTTTTCTTCTTCCTCTTTTTTCCCTTTTTCTCCTCTTTCCCTTTCCCTTCTTTTCCTTTTCTTTCTCTCCTTTTTTTTTCGGGGGGGGGGGGGGTGGGGCAAGGCCCGCTCGCCCCCCCCCCCTGGATCCGCTCCTCTCTACATGTACTAAATTTAAATCTAAAATTAAATATTCCAGTTTATCCATAGACACTGTACATGGCGCTAGGGTGGTGAAAAGTTAGCGTAGGGTGGTGAAAAGTTAATATTCCAGTGTATCCGTGGACAATGCACATGGCGCTAGGGTGGTGAAAAGTTAGCGTAGGGTGGTGAAGAATTAATATTACCATTTGTCCATAGACAATGTACATGACGCTAGGGTGGTGAAAAGTTTGTGTAGGGTGGTGAAAAATTAATATTCCAGTTTATCCATAGACACTGTACATGGCGCTAGGGTGGTGACAAGTTAGCGTAGGGTGGTGAAGAGTTAATATTCCAGCTTATCCATAGACAATGCACATGACGGTAGGGTGGTGAAAAGTTAGCGTAGGGTGGTGAAGAATTAATATTACCATTTGTCCATAGACAATGTACATGACGCTAGGGTGGTGAAAAGTTAGCGTAGGGTGGTGAAGAGTTAATATGCCAGCTTATCCATAGACAATGTACATAACGGAAGGGTGGTGAAAAGTTAGCGTAGGGTGGTGAAGAGTTAATAATCCATAGACAATGTACATGATGGTAGGGTGGTGAAACGTTAGCGTAGGGTTGTGAAGAGTTAATAATCCATAGACAAGCGCTAGGGTGGTGAAAAGTTAGCGTAGGGTGGTGAAGAGTTAATATTCCAGTGTATCCATAGACAATGCACATGACGCTAGGGTGGTGAAAAGTTAATATTCCACTTTATCCATAGACAATGTACATGACGCTAGGGTGGTGAAAAGTTAGCGTAGGGTGGTGAAAAATTAATATTCCACTTTATCCATAGACAATGTACATGACGCTAGGGTGGTGAAACGTTAGCGTAGGGTGGTGAAGAGTTAATAATCCATAGATACTGTACATGGCGCTAGGGTGGTGAAAAGTTAGCGTAGGGTGGTGAAGAGTTAATATTCCAGTGTATCCATAGACAATGTACATGGCGCTAGGGTGGTGAAAAGTTAGCGTAGGGTGGTGAAAACTTAATATTCCACTTAATCCATAGACAATGTACATGACGCTAGGGTGGTGAAACGTTAGCGTAGGGTGGTGAAGAGTTAATAATCCATAGATACTGTACATGGCGCTAGGGTGGTGAAAAGTTAGCGTAGGGTGGTGAAGAGTTAATATTCCACTTTATCCATAGACAATGTACATGACGCTAGGGTGGTGAAAAGTTAGCGTAGGGTGGTGAAAAATTAATATTCCACTTGATCCATAGACAATGTACATGACGCTAGGGTGGTGAAAAGTTAGCGTAGGTGGTGAAGAGTTAATATTCCAGCTTATCCATAGACAATGCACATGACGGTAGGGTGGTGAAAAGTTAGCGTAGGGTGGTGAAGAGTTAATATTACCATTTGTTATGATAGACAATGTACATGACGCTAGGGTGGTGAAAAGTTAGCGTAGGGTGGTGAAGAGTTAATATGCCAGCTTATCCATAGACAATGTACATAACGGAAGGGTGGTGAAAAGTTAGCGTAGGGTGGTGAAGAGTTAATAATCCATAGACAATGTACATGATGGTAGGGTGGTGAAACGTTAGCGTAGGGTTGTGAAGAGTTAATAATCCATAGACACTGTACATGGCGCTAGGGTGGTGAAAAGTTAGCGTAGGGTGGTGAAGAGTTAATATTCCAGTGTATCCATAGACAATGCACATGACGCTAGGGTGGTGAAAAGTTAGCGTAGGGTGGTGAAAAATTAATATTCCACTTTATCCATAGACAATGTACATGACGCTAGGGTGGTGAAAAGTTAGCGTAGGGTGGTGAAAACTTAATATTCCACTTAATCCATAGACAATGTACATGACGCTAGGGTGGTGAAACGTTAGCGTAGGGTGGTGAAGAGTTAATAATCCATAGATACTGTACATGGCGCTAGGGTGGTGAAAAGTTAGCGTAGGGTGGTGAAGAGTTAATATTCCACTTTATCCATAGACAATGTACATGACGCTAGGGTGGTGAAAAGTTAGCGTAGGGTGGTGAAAAATTAATATTCCACTTGATCCATAGACAATGTACATGACGCTAGGGTGGTGAAAAGTTAGCGTAGGTGGTGAAGAGTTTATATTCCAGCTTATCCATAGACAATGCACATGACGGTAGGGTGGTGAAAAGTTAGCGTAGGGTGGTGAAGAGTTAATATTACCATTTGTTATGATAGACAATGTACATGACGCTAGGGTGGTGAAAAGTTAGCGTAGGGTGGTGAAGAGTTAATATGCCAGCTTATCCATAGACAATGTACATAACGGAAGGGTGGTGAAAAGTTAGCGTAGGGTGGTGAAGAGTTAATAATCCATAGACAATGTACATGATGGTAGGGTGGTGAAACGTTAGCGTAGGGTTGTGAAGAGTTAATAATCCATAGACACTGTACATGGCGCTAGGGTGGTGAAAAGTTAGCGTAGGGTGGTGAAGAGTTAATATTCCAGTGTATCCATAGACAATGCACATGACGCTAGGGTGGTGAAAAGTTAGCGTAGGGTGGTGAAGAGTTAATATTACCATTTGTCCATAGACAATGTACATGACGCTAGGGTGGTGAAAAGTTAGCGTAGGGTGGTGAAGAATTAATATTCCACTTTATCCATAATTGACAATTTACATGACGCTAGGGTGGTGAAAAGTTGAGATCGTGAAAAATTATATCCATAGAAAATATGTACATGACGGTGACATAATGGTGAATAGTTTATGTGATTTGGTATTTAAAGAGTCAATGCCCCCTTTCCCAGAGAAAAGGCATATATATGCATGACATGCTTATAATTATGGTGCGGGGATATATTGCAATTCAAAAGAAGATAATAACGTTTTAATTTCTAACATAAATGAGGTGAGGTCTTAGTATAATTCTTTGATTTGCCCCTAAGTACTGCGCTTTACCCCCCCCCCCCCCTCCATCATCTACTCTCATTATATCCGACCACCATATGCCTATTTTAATTGGTAGCCAGCCATCGTTGCACTGATCATGCCTGATGGATACAATACACAAAGAATATATTGCGTGTGTGTAGTATAGCGGTTGTACGTGTACAATGCGATCCTTACACTTATCAAATTGGCATTTTTTACACATAAGATGGGCTACCTTCATCTCCGATTAGGTGTGTGAAGAAAAGCTTCACCCCATCTTTTGCTCTCACACTTGTACATAGTTGAGATTATCGACTACATTTACTGACGAATTAGGACGCTCACCTCGTATCATAGGCATTAAGCATCGAAATCCAAGTAAGCATTAAGACGTGACAGTTCTTGTACGGTGACCTTTAAAAAGAAAGAAAATTTATAAAGCCCTACAGTTCTATTTACATTGTCCTGCGTAATTTGTCTCTTCGACTATACCTTAATCACACACGTAAGTCATGTTCGGCAAATTCATTCGCGTCAGTTGAGCCAAGAAAACTAAGGAATGTCCGAAAAATCATCTTTAGCAATAGGAAGACCAGCACGAAAATGTCGGAAAGCAACTTACACGTCAGTCCTCTACAAAAAACATAAAGCGAAGGAAAAAGAAAGTCAGGTAAGGATAAGAAGAACAGAAATAGCAATGAGAAGTATAAACTATTGCCCCACTCGTTAAGATCTGTGTAGTGTGTATGGTCGAACATTTGAAGAGACAGTTCTATTTATTTATTTTGTTATGGTGGGGGGGGGGGGGGGGGTGGGGCAGGTGATAATGTGACATAATGATGATGATATTAACTAAATCTTCATTAATTGTTCAAATGATGGCTATGGTGTAATATAAAGTCCCTATCGTGTCAATTTTCTTAGTATTTTTGAAGCATTTTTTCCTAAAATAAACGAAAACAGTAATACGTTTTCACAGGTTTCACGGCAAACCGTTGCACAATTACAATACAACTGCATACTGTACCGTACCGATGAAGGGCCTGGGCTGTGTCTCACGAAACCGTCATAACTACAAGTAGAGCGACATCCCATTGAAATGCGTGTTAAACTTAATACAGGCATTTCAATGGGATGTCGCTCAACTTGTACTTAGACCTTCTAGATCTATGACGGTTTCGTGAGACGCAGCCCTGGGTACAGGTGCGCGAGTGTGCATGAGGTTATCGACTATAGTACCGGTAATCGACTTCACGCACGCTCTCAATGAAGATTTAGTTGATTCTTGGTGTGTTTTAGTAGGCTATCTCCATGCTGGAGTTACGGGTAAAAAATGGATACAAAAGTACACTAGCGCCATCATCTGATCTATAATTACACTCTAGTCTAACTTGGGCATGCAGGGAACATAGTGAAGATTAAAAGAAGGTGATCCTTTCATGTCTTTGCTTATATCCCAGGTAAGAGCGATCCTGAAGAAGAACCATGCAGACAGGAGTACAGAGGAGGAACAAATAATCAAACAAAACAAAAAGGTTGTCAAGATTCTCGAGAAGAGGGTGCAGCTGAGGGAGCTTAATCGTCAGAAATCACAAGAGGTAAGAGACAAAGTGATGAAATAGTATCTTGAATCTGTTCTTATCTATTTTCCCTTCCATTATTTTTGAGAACCCCACCATTAAAAAAAGTCTAATTCATTAGTTAAAAAAGAAAGAAGAAGATGATGGAATCAAATATTTCTTGTTTCTGTTAGATTGGCTATTTCAGCTGAATAGGATGTGTTATAAAAGGATGAAATAAATGATTTGTGCACTGTAGTAGTTACTAGGTATTGCTTTCAATAATATGATGAGCAGCTATCATGGTCTTTCTGACAAATTTGAGATAAAAAGCTAATATTATCTGGCCTAGATTGTAAATGACCCAGGACATCTTATGGTCTGTCAGACTTATGACAATAATATTCATTGTGGATCTTTCTTTTAGGCCTTGAAATAGAAATGGAAAATTGTGGATAAGCAGACCATCAATATGGCAGTGTATGAACTTATTAATGAACAATCTGTCAAAGATATAATGCAAGGTTAATGTATGAATTGATGGTCCTTGATTTAGGAGTGTAGAGGTACACCTATCAATTGATAGGTTCATATCTATGAAAGAAATGTGAATAGGGGAAATAGTCATAAGTCTGCCCCCAAAAAATTGTCATCAGTACAGTGTCAGTAAATTCATATAAGCCTACAATATGGCTCCATACATAATACGAGCTCCTGATTTCTTTTCTCAAGAGACTCCATGAAACCATGTAAAACGTAAAACATATGTTGTTGTTTTTAATCCAAGGTTGAAGATTCTGTCGGGGAACTTGAAATTAAGGTAGCAGAGCTTGCAGAAGAAGTCCAACGTGCAGAAAACTTAGTCATCTACACAGGAGCTGGTATAAGCACAGTGAGTAATAATGATGATATCAGTCTACTCTTATCTTGCACACATACACCAGCCATCAGTAGGAGTGGGCAAGATGTTGACAATGTTCAAGATATATATATAAATGCTCCTACCTAAATATGGATATAATTTATATTGTAAATAATTATTATTACATTTTATTTTTAGTAAAATATTTAGATGCTATCCTCATGGATATATTAAAGGAAAAAGGTAGCTGTCTTTTACAGTAGTTCACCTAATCTTGTTGCTTTTAAATCAAGAGTGAATTGTATTTAGCCAGGAAAAGAAACAAACTTTCTGCTAATTTAAAGAAGTGGCATTTTGAAATTTGATTTTATTGTGCTATGTTTTTAATTGAATGTGTAGTTTTGTTCTGAAACCTGCAGCCACTGATCATAGAATCAGTTATGGACAATGTTACAGTAATACTATTTATCATTGTCTGCACGACTGAGGCACCATGGTTTGAAGCAAATCTCAGCGCGGGCCTCCCCGGTGGTTTTGCCATGCTCTGGTCGGCTTACACAAGGGCAGGCTCCATTCATACTCTGCCACTCTCCCTCCCCTCTTTTACAGTTCTATTTTGGCTCATAATCATTGTTGATTACATGTAAATATTGTGATTGTGTTTTAATTGATCTAATGAAACTTACAATTGGAAAAAAGAAAGGAAGCTGTCTTTTATTTTCTAAGGGTTCTTATTTAAATAATGGTTCTATTTGGTGAAAAGGCCTGCAAAAGTGATGATTTTATTGTCTTTTGTGTGCTGCTATGTGTAGAATTTTTTTTTCTTTTGTCACTTATGTAAAGTTGGTCAGATATATTTCCTAGCAAAATTTGTATGCTTTAAATCTTGACACTTTTCATGTAATGTAACCCTGACAGGCAGCCTCTATACCCGATTACAGGGGACCAAATGGAGTATGGACATTGCTACAGCAGGGAAAAGGGAGCGAACTTCAGTAAGTCCTTTGTTTCATTTAATGCATTTGCTACTCTTTCGTTCATAAGATGTTTCTAGGAAAGAAAATACTGGCCTAATATGTAGTCTCTTGATGTGTCTTGATGAAAAAAGACCCATTAAGACCATGAATAATAAAGACCTATTGATAGTGGCTGGCTTGGTAATGCTTTAAATTTAACAATCACCTGATCTAACTATTGATTGATGAGATTCAACAAGCCTGAAATAGAGAGGCAACAAGAAGTAAAGTTTGGGAGTTCTTGAACAAACAATCTTTGACTCCTTGTGGTTATCATGAATGCAAGGATGCCTTTTCTGGAATGGTACAACTTGGTACAACTTGGTACAACATGTTACAATAGGGACTTTTAGATTTGGGTGGACGTGGACGTGTGACGCCCTTTTACGGCACTGGCAGTCATGTGTGACATCCTTTTAAGGCACTGGCAATGCCTTAAAAGGTTGTCACACGTTGCAGTCCACGTTCTCGTTGTGCATATCTAAAAGTCCCTAATAGCTAAAAAAACACATGACTTGAACTGAACTTCTTCAGTGCCTTTGTCAGATCGGTAAAATAAGACAGATTTCATCATTTGAAATTTAACTTTTGTTATTGATAGGAACAGCTCGTTGGTAGATGCAGAGCCAACCCTAACTCACATGGCACTAGCCAGGTTGGTGGAGGAAGGCATGGTAAGCTCTTCATAACATTCCTTTATGAATCCTATGTTATAACTATGCAATTTCATAGATGTTCTTATTGCTCATGTACAGTTAAGGTGAGCCCCGAAAGACGTTTTGTCAGATAGTGTAGGACTTTAGTTGATAAGTAGCAACATACTTACTTGCAGTACTAAGCTGCTGTGAAACTGATTTGTTTTTAAGTGAAATGTTGAACAAAAGAGAGGTGAAACAACAAGTGATATGCCTGACCTGGATTGTAAATTTCTTGCACTTAAATTCTGAGGAGATCACCATGCAACATATGTTTAAACCTAATGGTAAGCTGTTTTCCACAATATACACCAACGTCTGAGTGAGGGTTGTTGCAGCAAAGAAGCAAAAGCTAGATAGGATTAGATCAATAGTAACTCACTTATCAAACTGATTGCGTTTTTCTTATGACCACTTGTAGGTGAAACATATCGTATCCCAGAATTGTGATGGGCTTCACTTCAGAAGTGGTGTTCCCCCGGACAGGTTATCTGAGCTCCATGGCAATATGTACATTGAGGTAAGAGCGATCAGTTCCTTTTGAAATTTCATTTTCTGGTAAGAGGAACAGTCCCAAGTCACCCAAGTCTATAATGCTTGGATCTAGCTTCTAAATATGTTATTATATTATATCTATTTTACTGTGAATATAAAGACACTTTAAAATGACTTATGAAATTAATGTTCATATTATATTTATTCTTGGGAACCTACAAAAACAAGCTATGCTTTCCAGTAGGTTCCTGTTTCATTTCATAATTTTGAACTTACATTGTCTGTGCAAACAATTGATATATATGAAATGGAAATAAATTTGAATCAATCAATCAATCAAATATACTATAAATTCTGATTTTAATAGTGTCTATCTTATACTCAATCAATCTGAAGAAAACATTAACATCCATTTATTTTTACAGTAAATTTTCACTTTTCATTTTTTCCCCTCATACTTCTGTTTATTTGATTTCTAGCTTTGTCTGATACCCTTTGGCAAATGTAATATTCTTATCTTCTGTCTTTCTCTATGTAGGTGTGCACTGAGTGCGAGCCAGAAAGGCAATATGTCCGACTCTTTGATGTGACGGAGCAGACATCGCTTCGTCGGCACAAGACGAGCCGAGAATGCCACAAGTGCAAGGAACCCCTCCGAGACACCATAGTGCACTTTGGTGAGAAGGGAGTGATAGATAAACCCTTGAACTGGTCCGGTGCCATGGATGCCGCAGAGGATGCTGATGCCATACTGTGTTTGGGATCCAGTCTGAAAGTAAGTGTTATGCTTAACCCATCAAGGGTTTTGTGAAGAACTTCTTCAGTAAGTTATTCTAATTTCATGATCTAAATTCACCAATTTAATTGGTTCCAGCCTTCTAGGACATCACACATGGCGACGATTGCTCTGCGTTCAATGTCTTACACATACCAAATTTGATCTTCAACCCAAACCCTATATTTTGGATAAAATAAAGCCCTAGTCAAATGTTCTGGCAAATGTTCTGGGAGCAAGTGTCGGGTTCTCCTTTGATAGGTATTTCCTCTATGGTGTCTTTTGTCAATCAATAAAGTGCAGATCAGAATGGACATAATTTCTTGTCAAATGTTATCTGTAATTATTTTTATAGCCATTCATACTTCTACAAAGATCATATTTACAGTAGGCTTGTGGATGCACCATGTGAGAGAGAGGGAGGATTGAAGAGTCCTGAAAAGGACTCTCGGTAATCTTTCTTGAGGGTGTGTAGTCCTGAAAAGGACTGTTGCTGTATCCTCCCTCTCTCTCACATGGTGCATCCGCAAGCCTACTGTATATCTACATCATAATGCGAGCCGATACTTACAAGCAAAGATCATATTGTTGCAACTCTACAGGTTCTGAGGAGATACCAGTGCCTTTGGAGCACAGACAGACCAAAGAGCCAGAGACCAAAGTTATTCATCGTCAATTTACAGGTAAGGGGGAAAAAACCCACCTGCTATCAAAGGTCAAGGCTGTGTCTTATGAACAGTTGTGATTAATCCCAACTCAATTGTGATCGATATCAATCGTAACTATGTACATAAGAGATACAAGTTTGCAAACTTGCCATTGATTGAAGGACTTGCGATTGATTCTGATCAATTGCAACTCTTGACAGGACGACGATGTAATGTTAAAGTAGAATATTTTGGCAAGATCTCTTTCTTGAGTTTGCTTGATGCATAATTTCACGACGATCACCCCGTCTTGAGTCCATATTTTGTGATCTTTTCTCTTGTTAGCCTTTCTTATCCCACGAAAGAGGTTCGCTCTATCTCTCGTAAGGTTTTCGTTTATGTATAAGGCGTTGTCTGAGTGTCAAAGTTTCATCCTAGCACCGTAGATCTTTTCTCGGGCTCTGTAGTAGGTGAACTTCACTATGATGTTCATGATCTTTCTCTTCTCTCCTTTGGCTGTTCTCTGTTCCTCTCCATACCATGATTTCTTCTAGAGGGAGCAGGGACCAATCGATGACTACGATCAATGTCGGCGACATGTTGAGTTCATCTTTGCAGATATTTCTGACAAGATCGCCTGCGAATTCTCCATCCTCCTCTTCCACATCGGAAAAAAAGCAAGCAGTTCTCCTCGTAAACGGTTCTGATTCATCCTTGGTGGATTTGCGCTCTCTCACTTCTCTCTTTCGAGACTCTATTCTTGCGTCTTGTGATTTCCATTTGAAGTCAAGCGTTTTTGTTACCTCCTCGCAAAGAGTTTCATGGACTCTGTTGAATACCTTGCTTTTGATGGCATTAACTAACTTTGCCATGAAATTTGAGTCACTGGGGAGATTTTCGATGGCAGACTGGAAGGCAGAAGTCAGATCAGAGTCTTCAAAGTCATATTCGTGGCTCAAAGTTTTTCAGCAGGTAAATGAAGGTCGTGTTTGCGATCAGTTCTTGGGCGACTATTGGCATTCATTTTGCCGTCGCTCCGTTGGTGACGATATTTTCCCGACATTTCATAGTTCAAAGCTGCTTTTCTATTAACAAGTATACGGTTGGCGGAGCACTTATGCAAACACGTTCACTCTCATTCGCACATTGCTACTACTTAATTACATTTTAAACGAGTTTCTACATCCCTTGCATTTTTCATTCAAAAAAGTATATGCTTATCATATTGATAAAAAATTAAACTACAAATGCTGTCTCATATTTGTATTGCTTGGTTTATAAATGATTAAGTAATTGATGTAAATTTTGCCTTCATTTCAGTGGACACCAAAAGACAGTCAGGCATCCCTGAAGATCCATGGCCGATGTGATGATGTGATGGCACTACTCATGAAGCACCTCAATCTTTCAATACCTCTCTACACAAGGTAAGAAGGGTACTATAGGGTAGACTTCTGTTAGAAGGTTGTTTGAAGCTAGGATGTCAACAGGGAGACATGTCAATCCCTCACCCAACATACAAACATACACACACATTCAAAAGTGGAAGATATCATGACATTTGTCCAATTAAAATTTTGTGAATTTTACAATCTAAGATGCCTATTTATAACTCCCCATAAATTCTATATTGTAGGATGGGAGCCAGCCCGATAGAAGGGGCTTAGAAGGGTATACATACCATATGGAAACAAGTAGAAGTTTATCATTGGATCCCCCAACATCAGCCTTCTGCTCGAGCAAACCTAGGTGACTTCAATCTGTTATCTACATAGATATAAATCTTAGTTGTATTTGAATGTGAATATAGATGTGGTGCCGAGATAAATCATCTGCACATAATTTGGAATATTTGAATTTGAATTATTTGTTACACATACATTTTTATACAGTAGTCTTACGGTTACACCATGTAAGAGAGGGGGAGTATTGGGGAGTCCTGAAAAGGACTGTCGGTAAGGTTTTTTTCTTGAGTGTGTGCAGTCCTGAAAGGACTCCCCAATCCTTCCCCCCCCCCTCTCTCTCTCACCTGGTGCAACTGTAAGCCTACTGTATATCTACATCGCCATGCAAGCCGATACTTACAAGCAGCACATATATTTTTGTCCTTCTCATTAAACTCTGATACTCCACTTTACAGGAAGAGCGATCCCATCTTCAAGATGGCCGCTCCCATCAAGCCCCATGAAGAGGGCAGCTACTTGACAAGATCCCTCTTGGACACGAGGTTGAACTCTGAATCCTTAAACCTCAATGTGAACAGTGTCATCAAGACTGAACAAGACAACTCTGCTAATAACCTTGCATCAAGTGCACTCTCACAAAAACCAAAGTCTGATTGTGCCTCGGAAGGAAATTACAACGACAGTGAAGATACCGAGGATTATGAAATGGAGATTCCTGTTGCGTTACCATCACTAGAGGGCGGTGTTGAGGGAGAAGGGAATATGCCTGGCTGGTTTGGAAAAGGATGCAGGAAGAAGGTGGTAAGGAAAGTTGGAAAGAAGAGGCGGCGATCAAGAGTGTCCAGCGTCGAGATAGGGACTTGATTGTCGGAGGGGGCAAGTTTAATGTCAGACTTGTAAAATAAATCATAAAACAGAGATAGTAGTAAATATTCTCAGGTTAGATTTAGCTGCTGCCATTTTTCTAAAACTTCCATCTTTTTTTATAGTCAAGAACATAGTTATGAAGAAGGACAGATAACGTGTATTGTTTTTCATCACCAGAGTGGCCAATTTGATGTCAAAGAAATTGTAAAATCATCCACAAAACAAACCTGTCAACATCCCTACTTTATGTATCGTTCCTGTTGTATATTAACAAAACTTACATCATTTTTAATATTTTGTTTGAACAAAAATCAGTGGGATAGCAAATTTATTGTGTTTCTGAGTGGAAAAAATTAACCTTTTTTTAGATAAATCTGCAAATTAAAAAAAGAACTACATGCTTTTGAGTATTAAAGCTCCTATTTTTGTTTCTCAAGTTTCTACTTCTAACTAGAGTTTAAGGCACAGTTGCTCTTAGGAGTGATTGGAGAACCCAAAGTTAATTTAAAGTGTACCAATCACCTGAAAAGAGTAATTCGTGTTAAGGTAAAATGATCAAATCAACCTCAAAATAAATTTACCTGGCATTCAATATTAGGAAAAAGATTAAGGAGTAGGAAGAAATCAAAAGATAACATAAACCCTGCGTATTGCAATCATGGTCAAGTCAGACTTGGGTTCCGTCCCCATCCTAATCTATGCAAGTGCATATGCATGGGTTCAGTAGTCAACAAGCTGTTTTATAGTTCACTGAGATTGTATTTAGATTGCAATATCTCTTTTTAGAAGTAATATTTGAAGCTCATATTTTGAATACTAAATAACCTCATCGAACCTCTAACATAAAGAGCAATACATGTTTTTAGTGATTGGAACACTTTAACATTGTCTATAAAAGAAAGCAGCAAGTAAAAAGAGATTCCAAATCAAACTAACTTAATATGATGAATGAGCAATCGGTGTACCTATATACACTTTCTCCAGGATTTGAGTGTCTTTCTTGACGACAATATACCTCTCTTTTTTAGATTATATTCTTCTTACTTGCATTTTTGTCTGGCAATGAAAGTGTTGTGTCCATGTTGTGAAACCTAGAGTTTGGTGATGCATTGGCTGACAAATTAAAGTTAGAAATATCACCTGAAACATCGGAGGCTATTAAAAAAGAAAGTAGTTCTGTTCGGACAATATTTGTTTCTGACAAGCCTGACATTTTGTTGGGTGATAGTCCAATCTAGCAACAACAAATAAATGCAAAATTTCAATTTACAAAACAAGTCATGTTTAATGTGATGTTTCTTTGCCATGTAATCATGACAACGAATCACTCATTTGTAATTCATATGCATTTACAAAAATGATCTATCAGGCTTCTGACTTCAAAAGGGGTGCTTGAAGCACTGTTAGACTCTGCATGGCCATTCATTAGCTCAAGGTTATCTTTGCATTGTAGCATGTAGATAATCTCATGCGATTAGTTTGTCTTGTTATATGCATTGTTCTGTTTATCAGGTGTCCAAAGTATGAGTAAATGAGTATGAATAATCAATACATATTTTTGTTAAGTGCTCATAATATTTGTAACCAATGTTTTTTAACTGTCTTGGTTATATTGTGCATTGTCTTAGAAAGTTGACTGGCATAGATAGAGCAATAAACATGTCTATCAATATTGTAATTTCAGGCTTTTGTAGTATCAGAATTTTTCAGTCTGGCATGATACCTCTTTCGATCACACCAAAATGTAGGCCTTATTTTCTATGAAACCATGTTTTTTAAACAATTTTAACATTTGAAGGCACCATAGTACATGTGGGTAATGGGAATAAATTACAGATAAGTTTCATGCATACTTGTTTAAACAAAACTGTGGTTGAAAATATGATGAGATTAGTGTAATGTCTTTTATCTTTCAATATCGTATAACACAACAATTAGTGGGTATGCTTAATGGGCTATTGTCAAGTGCAGGTGTATCTTTTTTACCCCAACACAATGGACCCTTTTCATTCATTAGCATGTACCATTTTGTCATGATAGTCTTCTCAGGCAGTTTACCATTACTTGGCTCATGACAGAAATATATGAAATGCATATATCCTATCCTATTTGTATGCATACATGTACTTATGGCAATTTTGTGGAATTTTTTGTTTGTTTCAAAGTTTTATATGTACTTACATCATCTTCCAAACTTCAAACAGGACATCCATAATGTTGAATTTTACTTTCTTCCAGGATATTTAGAATGCTGTGCATAATGGAAAATGGTTAATTCTGACATCGATATATAAAAAACTAAACAGCTTACCGGTATACAGGGTACTTATTAACAGCCAATTAGGCAGTTATGGTCAATTCTAATTTGTGCAAAACAGAGCAGTCTACTTCTTACATGTAATGTTTTTTGTCATTAGCTTGTAAAACAGTTTATATCAAGGGGCAGGAGAAGGATATGCCAGTTCATAGTTGCAGTCTGAGCATGAGCAGAAAAAGGTCATTGCAGACTAAATTGTGAAATACACGGAGACGGAATACTGGATACGTGCTCATGAAAGTTATGTACCGAAATCATTATTCATTCATGCACAAGCAGTGCACTCCATGATACACAGGTAGAAGTATTCTTTGAAAAGAGGAACGAAGGCTATTAAAGTATGTAGCATCTCCATTGCTGTAGGATAGATTATTTCAAAAAGTACAAAGTGGGACCCTTCATGTTTTGAAGATCTGTGGATATTTGGGGTCATTTGGGACATGTGCTAACTGTGAACTGGTCTATTGTAAGCGTTATTGATTCAACTATGCTTCTACATGGAGGATGCTACTTGGTAAAGATCACCTCAGAAACTGCTGTATGATTTTACACCATCCATAATCATAGAGTACATAATCCAATTGCCTCCTACATCGTAGTGTAATGGTAATTTTCCTCTTGAATGTTTATATTTGATCTTTGTGAGTGTTGTGTGAATTATAGCATACTAATGGTTTAGTCAAGCATGTATGAGAAATTTAGCATATAGTTTTCTTCCAAATCTATGAATAGACAGGAGCAACAACAGATGCCATGTAAGTGTAGGAGTCTTCTATTTCGTCTGTTTTGTCAGACGATTCTTCACAAACAATTATACCTCAGTTTTGTAGAACATAACAGTGTAAGATTCAATCTACCTGGCTGTCTCCCTAAATATGGATAAATTCAGGCCTTGCGTTTTTTATCAGGTGACAGGAATGCCATTCATTATGTTTGTTAGCCATACAAATGTGTACATTAATGTAATAATACGACAATATCAAGAGATAATGTTTTTTTTTTTTTACTAGTGTTATGAACCTGGCTATAGTATGACTGCAGTATGACCCCAAATCTACCCCTCCCCCCTTTGTATGCCTTAATACTTCAAGGGGAAGTCCACCCTGGTATTATATTGGTTTGAGTAAAAGCAGAAAAATTAGAGAAACAAATTAGGGAAAGTTTGAGCAATATTTGATAAAAAAATGCTATGATTTTTTGAAGTTGTCATCAGTGAAACAAGAATTGGTAACAGTGAGACATATCTTGCATGCTCCTTTCCAACTTTCATTTTCTTAGTTATTGATGACAGAATAGACTCGTTTCATACAGGGGTTGTATAAAAACATTTTTGCAATAATTATATTTAGGTTGAATGTATGATTGAAAATTTTCTCACAGGGAAATATGATACCGTTTTTCAGTACAGGGCAAATGAGAGGAGACCTTGCAAGATATGTCACAGAGGTGCCAATTTGTGTTTGTTTTACCGCACCTTCAAACACTCATAACTGTTTAAATATTTGTAATCGATCTTTGCTCAAACTTTCACCGACCTGTTTTTCTCTAATTCTTAATTGTTTTATTAAGACCATCTTAATATAAGGTTGGACTTCTTCTTTAAGTGATTCTCAATTTTCATTTTTATTGCAAAGCTGTTAATATTTGCCAAAATTCTATGACATAGAATAATGCAATCACAGATAAATTAATTGTAGCAACTGCAATTCGCAGAAGTGAATTTCCTGCTGTGAAAATATTCCAATAATTCCATCACGAAAAAAATTGCAAAAATACTTAGTTTTTCAGTATACATGGAATTTTAAGAACATTTCCTACATTTTCTTATGTTAAAAAGATAATTCACGGGTGTTAGAAACACAATAGAAATATGCAATAAGGAATCATGTGTAAGTTTTATGCAACATCTGCAAAATGAAATTATTTAATATGGTCTAAGGATGTGATTTAGGACAGGGATTTATATTTTATTATGATGTTTCAAAAGGTAGTGCTTTTAAGTCTTACTTTTAAGTCACATTTTACATAATTGTTTCACAAATCCAGTAATTCTGATTTCTTCCAGTACACAACATTTTTACCATTACACAATGAACAGGAAAAAGTCATTTGTCACATTTAATATATTAGCATTAGTTTTCATTAAATATCATGTATGATTAAAAGAAGAATATGAAACAATATAGAATGATTAATTTTCGATAGTGTTTATTTGACATTCTTTCACAAATATGAAAATATATACTGGTTGCTACAGCAATCACCGAGTTGAAGGACCGCAATGGCTCCTCGCTGCAAGCAATTAAGAATTATATCGCTACCAAACATAATTTCTAATGATGGAAATTCAAGAAGAACACACAGTATGTTTTATAAAACAATTTCATATTTTATTTAAACTATCACACTTGTATTTCTTAAATTACTTTGCCTATATCTTATTCTGTTTTTTCATTGCCACTTCTTTGATGTTACCTAGGAATAAACAGATGTTATAGAATTTAATGTAAGAAATGTATTCAGAACATTAGATTGATGTTACTCTGTGTGCTAGCAATACAAATTCAACTATGTCATTTTAAATCTAGTAAATCATTTTTAGTGAAGAACTTATTGTGACCCACTATTGAATATCAGATAGATCTTTCAGATGTATTTTAAGTGAATTTTGTAGACTGTAATAAATATGCATTGATATCACAAATAATCTATTAATACTCCATTGTTATATATTTGAATGTACAGAGTTCGTTATTTATGCATTTATGCTATACACATACATGTACAGGGATGTCGCTAGGTGTTCTGGCATTTGATATATTTCGTGTGTTTTTTTTTTTTTTTTAGCTTTGTATATACAATTAAATGAAGACAAAAAATGGACTTCTTTTCCCATTTTCGATTTTTTTTTTCCTGGAAATTTTTGGTGGACCCATGTCTTGGAAAGCCCTGTCAAGTATGAAAATTTCCCCATCTCAAAAATTATCTAGCAACACCCCTGTCATTGTATTGAAACTAAAAGGGCATTTACAAACAGCTGCGAGAATTTGTGGAATAGAGATTGAAGCTCTGT